CTATATATTCAGCTACTAGATAGTCAAGTCTAATGATGTTGGTGGTTGAAAAGCTTCAAAATATTATTAGAAGCGGCAAAAATTCGTCGCTCGGTGGTATTCGTCGCTCGGTGGTTGATTACGTTATACCACTGAAAGGAGTAAATATTCCCAATTGGGTATAGTGGCGGTGCTACTCAAAGCGAGTGTGGCTGATGGAGCCAAGACCACCAGCCACAGGAACACACAACCCGCAACACAAAAATTCGGGATCGCGAGAATCGTCCCGTCGCCAGCGCACACACCGTCCGCCGTTTCTTCTTGATACCACCGACATTTTCTGTCACTAGGTATCTGTCTTAATATCGATCAGACACCATGGCGCCTATCTCCATTGCAGACCTTGTGGCTGCCCTCCCCGCTGAGGACACCTGGGGCCCCGCCACTCCCTCCGACAACATGCTCGATGGCGTTCCATACGCTCCCTTCTCCAAGGGTGACAAGCTGGGCCGTATGGCTGACTGGACGACGGATGGCAAGGACCGTGACAGGGGTGGTCGTCAGGCGTACAACCGGAATTACAGAGGTGAGCTCAGATGTCCCGCACCTTTTGAGATGGTGTACTGACCCAGAACAGATCAACAGGTGTACGGCGCAGGCACCTCCAGCTTGTTCAACATCCAGGTCGCCGAGGACGAGTCTTCCTTCTCCGTTGTCGACAACACCCGCACATCGACCAAGCGTACTTTCGCCCGTGGTGGTGGCACTGTCTTCCGTGGCCGCGCTCAGCGTGGCGCTGGCCAGAGAGGTGGTCGCGCTGGCTTCCAGAGAGTTGGCGCTGGCCGTGGCCAGGGCGGCGATCGCTACTATGACAACCGCTCTGCACGCGGAAACCGTGGGCGTCGTTTTGGCTGGAAGGACTACGACAAGCCCCAGAGAACCCGTGAGCCCTCGGTCAACGTCCGTCCCGACTGGACCATGCTGGAGGAGGTTGACTTCAACCGGCTGTCCAAGTTGAACCTCGAGGCTCCCGAGGGTGAGGATCTGGACTCGTATGGTTTCCTCTACTACTACGACCGGTCTTACGACAAGGCCCCCGTTAAGAACGCCGAGCGCAGGCTGCAGGCCATGGAACGTGCCGCTTACAACGTCACTACTTCTCAGGATCCTGTTATCCAGGAGCTCGCCGAGAAGAACGAGGCGACCGTCTTCGCCACCTCCGACATTCTGTCTATGCTCATGTGCGCTCCTCGCAGTGTCTACTCGTGGGACATCGTTATTGTCCACCAGGGCGACAAGATCTACTTCGACAAGCGCGAGGGTGCTTCCATCGACTTGGTCACCGTCAACGAGAATGCTGCGGATGCCCCTATGGAGACGACTGACTCTTCCGGCAAGCAGGAATCGCTCAATACCCCCAGTGCTCTTGCTCTGGAAGCAACCTTCATCAACCACAACTTTGCTCTGCAGACCGTGGTGGAATCCGAGGAATCCAAGGTTGCCTTTAGCCACCCGAACCCCTTCTACAACGCTGCCGAGGAGACAGAACCCCTTGCCTCCAAGGGATACAAGTACAGACGCTTCGACCTGTCCCTGCAGGGCGACGAGGAGCCTCTCAACATGATCGTCCGTACCGAGGTGGATGCCGTCATGAAGAACCCCGTCGGCGGCGAGGACCAGCAGCTGATCGTCAAGGCTCTCAACGAGTTCGACAGCAAGGCTCCCGGCTCCGGTGGCGCTCTGGACTGGCGCAGCAAGCTCTGGTCTCAGCGCGGTGCCGTTGTGGCCACCGAGATGAAGAACAACAGCATCAAGCTCGCCCGCTGGACCACCCAGGCCATCCTCGCCAAGGCCGACGCCATGAAGCTTGGTTTCATCTCGCGTGCCAACCCCCGTTCCGCCACCTCCCATGTTATCCTTGGTGTTGTCGGCTACAAGCCCCGGGAGTTCGCTGCCCAGATGAACCTGAACCTCGGCAACGGATGGGGCATCGTTCGTACTATTGTCGACCGCATCCGCTCCCTCGATGCCGATGAGGAGGAGGACAAGGTCAAGAAGTACGTCCTCATCAAGGACCCCAACCGCCCTGTCATCCGTCTGTACAGTGTGCCCGCCAACACTTTCGAGGAGGACGACGAGGCCGCTGAGGAGCAGCAGGAGAAGGCGGAGGAGGAGGCCGAGGAGTAGATCTGTTGATGTGATTTGCCATGATCGTATAATGATGTCCTATCGATTTAGTGTGCATATTTAAAAGTTGCTTAGATTGATGGCATGGTCAGACATTGTTCTTGTAGGACGTATACTTTCCTTGGGTCTACCTAATCATTTCTGTTGCAGAGTAGATATTCGGTACTCTGTTGTATCAAATATCAAATATCAAGTCGGTCTCAATCAGCGTCTGCTCTCGGCTTATTTTCCCCTTGAGGGCCAGCGCTCGGAGTTTCTTATCGCATCTCCATCTCGATTTGCTCTCCACCAATACAGTAGTGAACTGGTTTCTGACCAGGCTGCTCCTTCGAAGTGAAACAAGCCGAACCTTAGATCCTCAGTCCGGTGGTCCGCACCCCGCACAAAAAAACCGTTCGTTCTCTAGCATATCGAGCCCGATCAAGGGCCCAACAGTCAAATCGGATGGTGTGACCACCAACAGGGTTTTCGGTTCAAGCATTCAGCGGAAACCAGCATTGTTACTCTGTAAGCTATTTATCTTGTTTCCATTCCATGAAGGGTCAAAATATGGATATGGTAGACGTTACAAAGTCTCAGTCATGGGTCAAGAGCCCCGCCAGCCAAGAGACGGAGCAAGATCGACAGAGTCGAGGCTGTTGGATTGTGGCTTTTCTGCCCTTTTCGGGAGTGATCCGCTATATTATCCATAAGCCATGAACCACTGGTCAATCCAGCGAACCGTAGATCATGGCTCGATAGCCTATCGCCTTCATCTCTCCCTCACCCTCGCCCTCGCAGGTCTAGCAGCCGCAAGTCCCTTACCCCTCGACACCAGACAATACCCTCCCATCCCTCTCCTGCCAGCGCACCACTAACAAACAAACACCAGACTCCACCGCAGACAAGGCCCTCTTAAGGGTCACGACCGACACCGCCATCAGTGCAGCGCAGTCGCTCCTCGAGCTGGTGGCGTCCAAGTGCCCCGGTACGCAGATCGTGGCGGGCGGGTATTCCCAGGGCACAGCGGTGATGCACGGCGTGATCTCCGGGCCCTCGGATAACGGGCAGATTCCCGGGTTTGGGGAGGAGAAGACGGGGATCTACTGTGCGTGGGGGGATATGGTGTATGATAAGATGTTGGTGATCACCGCGGCGCATTTTTTCTTATGTGGGTGATGTGGGGGATGCGACGAAGGGGCTTGTTTCGAGGTTGGAGTAAGATGAACACTTGTAGGTGTGTGGGTATGCAGGGGCGGTTGCGTGCACTGCAGGACTGCAGGTTCTTGCGGGTGCTTGCTTGTGCTCTGAATTGGTTCAGAGGGCTGTCAGGGGTACTTGAATGTCTTGATCCTGAGGGAAAAACCCAACCTAATATGTGTGACTAATTTCAGCAGTTCAATCAATGAAACTAGTGAGTAGCTGCTTTAACATGCCATTCTTAGGCCTACAGATTAGATATGAGGATCAAGTTAACCCTCGGGCAGAATCCGAAAGAAACAGTAAGAACAGTAGGACAATGGTCAAGGAGAGATCGAAGGCGAAGAGTGGGAAGTCAGGCATCCCAGACGTCAAAAGAAAAAGAACCAAGAACCAGTCATCTGTTACAAGACAGAAAGAAGAAGAGGAAAAAGAAAAGAATAAAATCCCTCAAACCTTCCATTCTATTTACATCCACTTATTCTGAGAAGAAAAGAACTCCACACTCCCCGGTTCGCTCGAGAAAAAGAGGTATCAAAAATCGCATCACGAGTACATCGTATCGTCGCCTGCACGGGAGAATCTCAGGTCCACCTTGGACCCCAGCACACTGCTTAGACAGTCCATGAGCTCAAAGTCTTCGACAACGGCTCCAAAGCCGTAACATCGTACTTTGGTGTTCAGCGTCTCGATGATGATCTTCACGTCATCCTTGGTCAGGGTGCGGTACAATTCGTGGTTCTTCAGACACTGCAGCGCCATGATCGGGGTGATCTGGCCCTCTGTCACAAGCTGTCGGCTGAGATTGAGTAGAGTCGTCAGGTTTGCATGCGGGAGATCGTAGGTTTTGTGCGGATAGGCCTGCTCTGGGGTTGTGTTGGCGATGTAGCTTGGCGGGGGGCAGGTGGCCATCAGAGCGTGGCCTGAGAACGGCATGTCCTCGTCGTCTGCCTCGGTGACAGATCTTCGGCACAGATAGTCGGTGTGTTCGCGGCAAGGGGATTCCAATCTGCGCTTGTTAGCATTGATTGTTCGAGACATGTAGGCGCGGATAGCATACGTGAGAATAAAGTCGATCTGAAGCTGGGGATCCACCTCGAATATACCCCCCAAAGCCTGGACAGGTTCTTGATTTCGAGCAATGGCCGATAGATCGAGATTGGCTGGGATATCGCACGAGGTAGTCGGCATGTGAACATGGGGTGGAGGAGTGATTTCGTGCGTGGGGGAAATTTCCACCCGTTCCATCCCATTCGCCAGAGGACTCAAGTCCGACGAGGCGGTCGAAACTGTGGTTGGTGGTGTAGTATAGGTGTTGCGGTTCGAGGCTGGTGGTATTCCCGTTTCCTGGGATGCCACACTACTGCTGGCCAACGGGCTCGACTTGAAACCTCGGCCTGCTGAGCGTTCCGCCCTGCGACGCTCCAGCTCCGCCTCAAATTGGACTCCATTTGCGGCAAGAAGTTCCTTCAAGACCGCATTCTCTTCGTTGACCGCCTGCAGCATTTCTCGATGCTGGACAACGGCGAGGTTCGCTGCAGACATCTCCTGAGTGAAAGCCTCCCGTAGTCGCGAAACTTCGGTTTCCAGCGACCGGATGTATTGCTCTTTGCGCTCGCGGTGGGTTCTCTGTGCCTGACGATTCAGTTCCTGTCGTCGTGTCAAGGCAGGCTTGCTGTCTGGCTTGGGACCTCGTCGTTTGGCGGGTTGACCATCTAATAGGTACCATCTTGATTAACGGTTGCCAGGAGGCACCGAAAAAAAAATATATATATATATGGAATACAAACCTCGGGTGACCTTTTTCTGCCCTCCAAAGAATTGAAAGAAGTTTGCGCTCATTGAAGTTGGGGTTTTCAGGCTGGTTTGTGATGGGGCTCCTGCAACAGCATCGATTAGTACATGTATGTATACTGAATCTCAGCACGAAGAGGGTTCCAGCAAGCAGGTAGCAACAGATCTAAAAGACCCCAAGGAGATCGCTCTGAAGCATTCCAGAACTGAGGAACCGAATGATGGATGGAATGTCATCTGATCAATGATCTTCGGCCCTGCATGGCCAAAGAATGTCCATCTCTGAGTTTGACATGAAGATCCCCCGGCCACATTCCATGAATTTGGAATTAAGCATTGCGGGTTATTCATATTGCACATGGAGGAAACAATAGGGCGTGTGACGCCTCAAGCACACAGGCGGCCAGGGAGACACAGTGATTGAGATCCAAACACAGAAACACAGAGGGCTACGACCTACCCCGTGTATGTCCGTAGTCCACAGGGACAACCCCTCCGTTCATCGAAGCCATTGTTGTGGTATCTGTCCGCAAATACAGGCTCAGAGATATCGGATGCGACCGGCACGGTTCAATGTAGATGGAGGATTGCAACTTCGATTGTACGTAGTCGAGATAGTGGCGGGTCTGAGAATGATACTCTAGAGCGTCAATAATGACATTCAAAGCATCTAGATCGTCTGTTAGTTTTCTCAAAACGAATACAAGAGAAGATATATTGCACCGGCGTTCTCACCGTTGAAACTTCAACACCCACGATACGAACGCACGGAGAGATCGGATAGCCTTCCCCGATGCGCACAAGCTAGAAATGAATTAAAAAGCAGACCACGGTTTTCAAACAGAAGGTTGTGAGGAGTCGAATCAATCCTTAGGATGGCGAAGTGATGGAGGACAATGAAGAACAAATGAAATGAGAAAGGAACCGAGGGTGCAGGGACGCAGCGTTGGAAAAGTGACGAGTTCGAGAAATGGATTTTTTTAAGGTTTCGAACGTTTTCTTGAGACTGAAAGGCAGAGAGGGCCACAAGACTAAGAGGAATGGAAGACGAACGGAGTGGGACGGGGAAGAGATCGACTGGAAGTGTACGGAGTCGACTTAGGTGACTGGTAAAGTCGACGGCGTCCAGTAGGGTCAACTATTTATTCGTATGATCGTGATGGAGAAGAGTCAATTACGGGATAGATAGATCGGTGGCTTAACAACTCCGTGTTGCGACTTGCGAATCATCATCATCATGATTATTATTATTATTATCTACATATCTACCTACCTATCGACTGTGTAGATGAACTAAACTAGGAACGGGGATCCCACCTGGACATGGCCAGAATGAGGGACAACCCCAGACACCTGGTCTTTTGTGCGCAATAATCCATTGTTAATTTGCATCTACTTATGTTATCTACCTTGAATTTGACTTTGGAGTCTTGAGTATTTCATTTACTGTACTCTGATAGTCCACCTTAGTCTATGTAGTCCATGTAGTATCTACTGGACCTACTGAGTACTGCATACAATGGTACCTAGAAGAGAGCCCAGCACACTGGAGAATGCCGGGGTACCCGTTCCTCGACAATCTCAAATCATCCATTCAATAATCTATTATTGCTGGAGATGATAATAATACTTGACCTGTGCTCATTATTGCCACCACCTCGGAGACCCCATAGTCTGTCTAGCTGGTACCATAGTATCGACGTACTATTCCGTAAGTGCGTAGAGCTTCATCCATGGTCGGCGCGAAGCTCACCAGATCTGGCCGCGGGTCGACAAAAGTGGAGATCTGGGCTATTCTTTAGCAGCGCCACCCGGTCTCTGCTAATTTCTGCCCCTCAGATACCGAGACTGAGAGGATGATGATACACTAGCTAATGAATCCCATCATTACTAAGACCTCTCAGTTGTAAGAAGGCTATTCGACAGCGATGATCATCGAAATCAATGATCGACAATGGAAGTGACAAAAGCAAAGATGGAGGGATGGAAACCCTAGCAAGAATGCATCCGCCCGTGTGGAGGAGCAGAAGATCAAGAACTCGCATCACCTCATGTGCGATCGGCTAGACGGGAGTACCAACTCCGTAGATAATAACTCTCAGTCCAATTTCAATGCTAATGAAGGTTATTATGATCGTTCACACACACACTACTGACCAATGATCAGGGTCCTTCTGGAGAAGCATTGATTGTGTCCCTGATTCTTGTTGATTCTGAGAAGACCGACAAGAACTGTCCGCATCGTCTTGAACCAAGCAATAACCCGTAGGAAACCCTGCCATGGTTGAATTGTAGGTTGCATTCTGCCCCTGTCAGTGTTCCCTTCAGAGATCCGACTGGACAGTGTAACTCCAGCATTTCATGTGTAGGAGTTGGATCAGTCATGCTGCGTCACCCACCATGTGTCTCAACAATGTATCTGCTGATTGTCAGATCTACCGCTTTCGTTGGCCATTCAGAGCGCACGACTAACTCTAGTCCAGGATTAGCCTAGATACGTAGATTGAGAGATCTCAGCGCTTGGTCCGTCTGTCACCGCACTACTCCGTAGACAGGATGGACCGGTAGTCTGTCCTCTTCCACAAAGCCCTCAACATCACCCGGACACAATCTGTTGGGTCACCCTCTCCGTCCAGCTCCTGCCTTTTTCTCCTTTCTGCGTGTATAAGGGGGAGGAATGCTAGAAATTGAGTACTTTAGCTTCTGACAGGAACGCAAGTTGGAACGTTGCTCTTGACCGAGCCAAGCAATGGGTGACAAGTAGTGGGACCTGGATTGGACGGCAAGGGGAGAACGAGTCGTTGCACGGAATAAACCCATTATTCGCCTGCTGCAGTAGTATTTCACATCCTTTCCTGCAAAAAGAGGGGTCGCGAATCCGATACCATATCAGCGTTGGAAAGGGGACAAAAGTGATATAACTTAGCTTGATCATCAACTCAATTCTTTTCTTTTGCTTTGCTTTTTTTTGGTTGACCATCTCTCCCTCGTTGGTGTGATCTTGCGCGAGGGTCTCCATTTCGCGCCGGGGACCAAGACAATCGCCGGTATCAATAAATTACCCTCTGGAACACCTTTTCCGGCCATTGGCGCACACGTTCAAAAAACGATCTTCAACAGTAATTGTCAGATCCCGAATTCAGGGATAGGTGAATCTGGTTCTTGGTTGTTGGTTGTACGGTACTGGTGGTAGTACATGATAATGACCATCAACAGCATAGCCCATAGCATTAGGAAGCTAACGATGAACAGCCGAATCATCATCGAGTATGACCATAGCTGTGAAACTTAACTGAATCAGATCGATACTCAAGGTTCCTGGTTGAAAGACAGAACCTGGATTCCTGGAACCGACAAGCGTAATCCTTTGAGTCGAGGCTGGGAGATCGGCGATGCTCAGACCTCCTAGGCAGAAGAAACTATCGACTGTCGATGGGCGATCGCTAGCCTCAGGCCGCCAGGTGCCGATGGACGGGAGTAACCAACGGGTCAATCCCAATTGGGAAACCATGTCTCACCTGACTGGGATTGGTGCCTTGCAGCCTTGGAGACGAAGTCTGGAACTCCAACTTTTTTGCTTTTTCCAACGGCACCAATCGAATAATGATGATGCACTAGATACAACCTGAGCATCATCAGCTCACCATTATTCGCACGCTGGACGAAGATCAGCAGACTTCCCTGTCATCATGTTCTATCAGAAATCCCGATGTCCTTGCCATGGAGAATTCCGAGATCCTCGTCCACATCTCCGCTCCCAGCGGGGTCAGGGATGATGCCCGATATCGAGCTCAGGTCGAGGCTATTCTCGGCTTTCAGAGTCTGTCACGGCAGCTCATCACCTTGACGTCCGATGAGCGTCGAGGGAGCGATAGTGCACCGGCTACGGGACAGCCAACGTCTCCGGGTCGAGCCGTTGATGCAGACCCCAGAGAAGGATCGAAATGCACCCAGCCGTTCCTTCCTAACTTACAAAGCACGATTCCCTTTGAAAATGTGGAAGTGGAGTGTTCCAATGCAGTCAGATCCACGCCAGTACATGAGGGACTATTCAACGCTACTACTGGTTCAACAGCACTAACGATCAAAGACACGACGATTCTTCCAGATCCTGAACTTGGTAGTGGCCGTCAAATCAGCTCAGTCTCGCTGCTCCCCCAGTCGCAAAATGAGCACGCTGGAAAAGACTCCCTCGAGAGTCCGGTCAGTGTCATACCCGACTCGCAGCCAGAAGCGATACGTAGCCAAGCTGAAGGCCTGCTTCGCGGCGTCCCCTATGTAGCCGTTGGCTCTCCTCCGACCAAAAGACATTGTTCAGGGTTGTCGCCGATGCTGCAGGAAGTTGCGCCAGTCTCTGAGGCTCTCATACTTGCTTCCAAGCTGGACGAAGAGCGCCATGGAAATTACGAGCTGGCTAATCCTCGTCCTGTTCTACAAAACTCCCATCCTGATACACCACCACAACTATGCCTTGGTCGTCTTCCACTAGTTATCAAACCCTCGCTTCCTCCGGTATCCAGGGAGCGATTTGTAACCCATGTCACCCCAACTCTGGCCATGTTGACAAGACGTTTGAAACCAGCACGAACGTATAAACCTGTGAAACAATCTAGGGACCTGGAACAGTTGGAAAGGGGCCATTGGTATCTTCGCATCAATATTTTGCAGCTTGAAAGAGCCAGACACCTTGGCACTCCTGGCCTACACGAAAATGAGGCCCGAAGCTGGGACTTGGCCCGCTTCTCCCGCTTCTGGTCCTTCCTGTCGGATTTTATCTCCAAGGACGGCCGGGCTGGTTGGGGAGTCTGGTGCATATTGGAAGATGCGCCCGAAACTCTTTGGTCAGGCTCAACCGACTGCCAGATCATGCCACACAGAACGACAGCGCCGATCATGTCTGACCGAAAGACTAATCCCCACAGCTTTGTTCGGCCCGTGATACTGAAACTCTACGCGTGGGGCGAGATCGCGCTTCACATGTATCTGCTCCTCTTTTTAGCCAGCGAACGAAGAATTCGCAAAATGGGCGCGCAGTGGCGAGACGGTCGCGATGAGGTAGTCATTGAGATGCCCTAATCACCGCAAAATCGATATCTAAAAGCTCAAAGATATCTAATGACGTCATATTTGTAGCTCGGCTTACTAGCGAATAGCCTGCTGAATAGACGAATATTGCAAGTCTCTTCCCTCTTTAAATTTTCGTCATATTGAGTAGGCATCGATATGCTGACTGATCATCCCTCTACAAGTCTACCCAAGTCTTCGGCAGGTGTAGATGAGACGAAAGTCATAACCACACTCGACATGTCGGATAGATGGAACGCCACATGGTGGAGCCGATGTGATACGGATGTCTTGGCCTGCTGATGCGACCCGCGGCTTGAACGCGTCTCCTGAATCCTGGTGGATAATACTGTCAACAAACTATGAATATATCAGACACTGAGCCCTGAAGCCGTCACGTACGTTGCTGATTCGACCTCATTGCTCTCAGCCATAAATTATTGTCATTATGCCTCCCAAACGCTCTGCTTCGAACACTTCTTCTAGCAGCTCTAAGAAAGCCAAAATGGATAGCGACGCGAAATCGCGCGACCCCCGCACAATGAAGAGCGAGCGCTGGTCGCGCGTCTCTGCATCCAGCAATGCCGACGCTGCATACAAGTCTTCCATCGAGGATCCCGTCAAGGCATATTCCTATGTCTGCATCTGTCGACCGCCCTTCGACGATGGAGACGACCGGGAAGGTGAAAACGACCGGGAAGATGAAGACGACCGGGAAGATGAAGATGACTTCAGCGAGTCTTCTTCCAACAATTCCTCCTGCGACGCGGGAAAAACATGCCTGTGCAACAAGCCCGCAGCAGAGCACCCCGATCATCCTTGGATTTTGACCAATGCGGGCAAGAGCAAGTGGTCCACTCAGCATCTTTTTCTGGACCTTCGATGCCCAGACGCCTTCAACATGTATACCTTCAACGACCATGAGGGCTATGGCGCGCTCGAGGTCGTGCAAAACCTATTCATTGATTATATCGAGGCCTTTTTTATTGGCAAGAGCAGTGGGCAGTCTGCGAGGCTACAGTGATGCTATACATGAGCGACGCTTTAGGCCCCTTGAACTTGTAAGACTTCTTGCATTACCCGGTTTAGAAAGTAAATGCCAACCTTCTTTTCTTCGACTACAGCATCGAAGGCGCCTTGACGTCCACGCTACTATTTTATTGACCGGACGCATGTTCCTCGCGATGCTCGCGAAGCTTGAGCACCTCAATCTCCTGAAGCCAGATTCCGAAGTCAAAAATCTCGGCCTCATAATGGCCCTCTACATCAAGCTTGCTTCCACCGAGGACATCTCCGGCTACGGCGATGTCACCGAGGAGATCAAGAAAAATAAAGGAACCGACGAGACCTTCACCTTCCTTCGGTCTGACTTCGCCTCCCACATCCTCGCCTACGCCAAGAGATACAACATCAAGCTTGTCGGGCCCACAGACATTGACGACATCGTCGAGGACCTGGATGACGAAGCTGAACTGCCCGAACGCGATGAAGACCCCTTCGGTGACCCCTGGAACTTGGCCGACGCTAACAAAGAGTATGTTGAGAGCCACGCCTCCTACCACGACGGGCGGAAAGGGTGGAAGACCCACATTGGCGGCGATGCCCTGGACATTACCACCTGGAGTTCAGCAGACCGCAAGAAGGCGAGCTTTGACGGTAAGGACCCCCTCAAGAAGGAGGAACTTGACGCCATCAAGAAGGGGATGATCTTGCAATTGGCTTAGCTTATCGTGGGATAAATTGGTGTCAAGTTTCTCCTGCGGGTTGTACAGCGGTATATTTTATATAATAGGGACGTGGTTTGTGTTTAGCATTTTTTTCTCTTTTCTGTTTATATAGTCACACACTCATTTCTCTACCCAAAGAGGATCACAGTATCAACGTGTGGCCTGCGTCTTCAGAACTTCGGGGTCGTCTTTGAAAAGGATCCCTTTCTATGCCTAGCAGCTTATCTACGATTAACCTAAACCACCAATCTCTATGTATCTGGGCACATAGCCATCAGAATCAATCCATTAACTCCTAGATCTCAGCAGCAAATATGGTACACTTAAAGAGGAGGCCAGAGGTCGATTAATGAAGTCCCCAGAGATCATAGAAACAGAAGAAAATAGAAAGGAAAGAGAGTACAAGTGACAGAAAACGAGATATCAGTCTGGTGAGAGAAGAACCACGCCAGCGATAATGTAGACAGGAAAGAAGGGAAAAGTGTATGGCTGAATCTTGCGGAATCACGACATCTTGATCAAAGTATGTGAAGAGATTGTTTTTACTCGCAGATCTTGGTCTGAACGGAAAGAGAACGAAACCGCAAAGGAACTGGCGCACACCCCTGAAAGAGAAGCTTTGTAGAGTTGGTAACTGAAGAACTTAAGGTGGCAAGAAGAAGGAACCCAGGGGAAAAACCGGCTAGACCAAATGGATGAGACTTGTCAGGTGCAACTTAGTAATTCAATTCACCACTGCCGGCTCCACCGACAGCGTCGAGGTCCTCATAGCTCTTAATGCTGCGGCCCTGAGTGGCCTCGCGGGGACCCATGCCCTGCTGACCAGGTCCCGAACCCATTGCGTCAGGAAATGGGCCTGCTCCCATCAACGCAGCGGCGGCAGGGTGGCCAGGAGGAATATACGGCGCTGCACCACTTGCTCCCATACGACCTCCGGCACCGTACATGTTCGGCAAGCCACGGACGGGACTCATACGGCCTCCACCAGGAGCGCCTTGACGGTTGCCGCGCCGGTCATAGGGTCCGGACCGGTTGTTGTAACGGCCGCCTCCACGACGGATGACACCAGGATGATGGAGACCAGCAGCATGCTCGCCGGTTACCAAGCCGTTCGCGTTCCAGGCCTGGGTATTTACATTCATGAAGCCCGCAAGACCAGCAGCGCCAGGGAGCCCATGGGTTCCACCAGGGATATTGACGCTGTTTGCAAGATAGGGCGGCAAATTGGCCAGGCTGAAACCACGAGGGGTGCCCGTCTGGCTTTGAGCGGAGCTGAGAGGAAAGTGACCATTGCTGTTGGCATCAGAACGCGAGGGGGCGATCCGAGCAGGATCGAGAACGTAAGAATTGACCAGAGAGAGCTATTGTTTTGTTAGCTAAAAACCTCATCAAGCATGGGAACATCATCGCAACTTACATCGCTCTTGATGTTCTCAAACCATTCAGTGTGGCGTTTCTCCACATGCTTTCGCCAGAAGTGCTCGGCCTTGAAAAGTTTTGTGCACTCCGGCACCTTACACCGGAACTTCGCTTCGTCTTCCTGCTTGACAAATTTCGATAGCTCCTCCTCAAGTGCCTCATCCACAGGCTTGCCGCCGAGCTTTCTAATATCCACATTATCTGGCTCGAGAATCTGCAAGAGTTTATCCTCAAAGGTTCGGACCCAGTTAAACGCGCGCTGAAGCTGTTGCTCCGCCTTGGAACTGAAACGGTGCGGTCTCTTTTCCTCTACAGGCGGCTGTTCCTCTCCCTCTTCGCTGGGCTCCTTTTTCTTCACGGGGAAAGGCTGTCCAAGGGCACTGGCTCTGGCGACGTCTTTCGACTGGCTGGTGAGGCCGGCTCGCGGCCGACGAAGATGACCTCCGGGACACTTGCGAGCAAGTTCGTGCACTGAGTCACTCTCGAAAACGCAGAAAAAGCAGAAGTTGTAGACTCTGCGTAGATATTCGACCATAAGGTCCAATTTCTTCTTCTTGGCCAGAAGTTCTTCATCATCGACTTCGTCATCGTCCCAGCCTTCTTGCTCTTCACCCTCTTCCGCCTCACCCTCGTCAATATCAGCGGGATCAAAGTCAGGTTTCCGCTTCTTGACACTGACAGGGCCTGTGACAGGAGGCTGAAGCCAACCCTTTCCACGCAGCTCCTCAACACGGTCTTCAATCTTGGAATAACCGTCAGCGTTTCCACCCATTTCAGCATCGAGCTTAAAGACTAAACGTCTGGCCAGTTCAAGGTCACGTTCAATCCGCTCTGGGGCAGAGAATAGATCCCACAAAGCCTTTTTGCGTGTCTGGGGAGGTGGAACATGAATGCCGACATGGCAGACAAAATCTCCATGAACGGGATCATGGATTGTCTTGTCGTTGACAGCTTCCAGTGCCTTCTCGGCCGCAGATACAGTTACGTCCCCATTGGCACCCTGGTCATGATCCATTTCCTCACCTTCCTCCTCGCGACCATCTCCTCTCTCAATCACTGCGCTCTCTGGGGCGGGGTGGAGCATAATCCAACCCATTCGGTGGAACTTCTTGGAAGGATTCGGATCGCTCAGGCTGAGCCACTTGAAGCCACCGTCCTGCTCCCCCAAATGCTCCTTGCAAAATTCTTCAATCTTCTCACGGCTCACATTGGGTGCCAAAGTCTTGATCAGCAAGGCTGGCTGTGACAAAGCCTCATCGCGCAACTCGCCGCCTCTGGCAGGAAGCAAGTCTAAAACACCAAGTGTCTCGCCAACGGCAGTTGTTTCGCCTTCTTCCTTCTCGATGACACCGCCTGCGCCATCGCTTTCAGTCTTGTAAATTCCTTCCAGAGTGAAATCATCAAACAGACCGCCTTCTATGTCCCGCTCCCATTGCTGATAAGCACCTACACGGAAATCCATCAGGCGTCGGCGAAGGGGGTCCCTGACTTCGGGAACATAGCGCTCCTTGAACCACTCCTCATTCCGATGATGCTGAACAAACGTCCTCGCCATCTTAATTTGGAGATCCACCTTGTAAGTGTCATAAGCGGCCTGGATCTGCGCCCTCTCTCTTTCCCGATCCTCGCGAGCCTCGCGTTCCCCCTTGACACGATCAGATGGACGCCGTCCGCCGTATTTCGCGCGATCTTTCTCCTCTTTGATGGATTGCTCAGCACGCCACCATTCTGCGAACCAATTGAATCCAACTTGAAAGTCAAGGTTCAACGGGTTCGGAAGAGGGTTTGTCGGAAGAGGTCTTTTGCCAGACTCTTGTCCAGGAACGTAACGGTCGATATTGGCAACGGTTGGCGACGGAGCAGCACGCCGGTCCTCCCGCTCTCGAAAGGCATTCTCGCGAGCGGAGGAGGCATAGTAATCGTCGCGAGAAGGGCGGCGGACCGAGGGTTCATAACGATCAATCATAACTGGCGAGCGAGAACGGCCCCGTGTACCGCGACGACGGTCTTGTGCTCCTGGAAAGGAAAGATGAGCGATTAGCTCCAAAAATCGTCATTAGCTGTTCACTAAGCACTTACCAGGTGACCTGCGCCGGTAAGAATCCGTTTGCGCTCGAGCCACGTAAGGATCCCCTTCGCGGTTCCTCCCGGGGGACCCGTAACTTTCGTAGGAGTCCATTATGGCGCGTGTTTCAGCGCGCAAAACCCTCGAAGCTGATATCTGTTAATTTTCACAGAGTACGGTGAGTGATGGCGCGAGCGTTAGTAAGATATGAGGGGAGCACGGTGCTGAAATGGCAGTGGCTGAAGATGGCACGGACTGATCGCGTGCGAGGGCGGAAGACGCGGAAGTAAGCTAAGACCCGATAACGCCAACGTTAGAACAAATCCGTTCACTTAATATGAGTGTCTGGCAGCTTGTACACTGTAGAGGATGATAGGGACGGGTCGGGGTGAAGAGAAGAAGATGAGGTAGTTGCCGGTAGCATAGCGGAGGATATGGAAGACATATTGACAGAAGAACGACAACAATTAAACCGAGAAATAAAGAGCATAAAGAGCAGGAGATGAGCGCGCTCGTAAGAGCGAAAGAGAAAGTTGAAGAAGGAGAGAGTAGAGATATGCGACTGAGGAACGGAGAGTCTCGAGGGCCGTGGACGGCGCGACGATAATCGACAGACTCCAGGCAAGACAGGTGGAAAAGACAATAGTTGTTGAAAAGGCAATTAATCTAGAGTGAATGATGGGGGAGCTTTGTCCCGAGAGGAATTGAGCTGGGAATAGAGGGGAGGCAAAAGACAAGGGTGACTTGATAGTGACAGGACACACGATAAATAAGAGAGAAGATGGGCAAGGCAGGCAACCTACAAGTAGCCTTTAAAAGAAGTATCACACCCCAATCACGTCCAATCTGACGAATCCAGACGGAATGAGACTGCTGTTCCCCCGGGGACAGGGTCTAATGGTTGAATGCAGAAGGAGGAAGCAACGGAGAGAGCAGGAAGAGAGAGAGAGGGTGAGAGAAAGAGAGGAGAACTGCGCGTTGACTGGCGGATGCGAAATGACGACTAATACATGACTAATCAGGGATGACTGATCATTGATCGATCATGGTGGCTGACCGCCTTCTCTCCCACTAGTCCTGATTGGGCTGGCACCATCATGGCAGAACATGAGCAAGGGACAGCCTCATTGTCTTAAGAGAGAGTAAAGAAGAGTACGATGTACTCCATATAAGTATGAAGTTTGTATCTTAAGGTTGTTATTCACAAACTAGGTAGACGATCAGTTCAACACTCAACCGGTCAGGCCGGGTGTCAAGCCGAATATGCTGGTAAGTATGACTTGATATTTGTACAGACGACATTCGGGGGAATTGCCCATTGGGAATCACAAGAACATCTCGCAAACCACATTGAACAGGGTCATATAGAAGAAAATGAAATGAGAAACCAGATTTATGAGAATCATATAAATAAAGAGTCATTGAGGAAGATAATGCACGGATGAATGCACACCTCATGCCAACTACTCCTCGGCAGGCAATCACCTATTTCTTTGATCATCAGCGCCAGCTA